TTAGCCGACTTAGGATGGTAAGCCTAAGTCCTTTTACTTCTTCCTTAGCCGGCTATAAACGAAGTTTATAATAGACGAGAAATAGGGCCTAAACGGCTATCGTAATATAGTATAGTATTCGCTCCTCTATACGCTGCCGGAGCCCTAGATATAGCGGATCTCCGGATTCTAGGATAAGGGCGGCCCTAGAGGCAAACGCGACCTATAGGACTTCTTCTAATACCTTATATATACGTTTAGCAACGTATAGGAGCGGGAGAAGGCGTAGGATAGGCTATAGACCCTTAAGTAGAGGGACGGGCAGACCTTTAGCGAATTCCTCCCCGACTTTAAAAAGACGCTCTTACGAGCAGCGGGAACCACGGTATAAGAAGATAGCGCGAAGCTTATATAGTTACGGAACTCGATTACGCTAGCCTTACGGGAGCTACTTATCCCTATAATTATGCCTACTAACTACGGCGAGTACGTAAGCCGGTTAATAAAGGTAGTATAGGGCTACGAGCAGACGCCGCGTTTTTAGAAGCTTCGTAAGCGCACGCCGTATAGCGGTAACGGGATCACCGCCCCTCTATAAGAGGAATAGCCGACTATCGACACTAACGGAGATACCCTAATATCGGCTACCCGTATAGACCGAGCTAAACGCGGTAAGAAGTCGTCTTCGAATATCCCCTATACTGCCCCGCTCTCTAAGCAGCGGGCAAAGTAGGTAATAAGCGAGGAAATCGGGAAAAGGAAGGCTAACGGCCGCTGCTTACGTTGCGGCGCGTCTATATACTTTATATTAAAATGCCCCTTCCTTTTAGCTAAGCGGCCTATAGTAGTTCGAGTAGCGAAGATAGAACCGCTCCTTACCTTAGACGACGAAGAGGACTCCGCTCCCTTAGGCCTAGAGGAAAAAAAGTAGCTCCGGAGTAAAGATAGGCTCCGGAGCCCTAATTACTAGCACTAGTAAAGGAGAAGGAGGAATTATCCGCCTATATAAAAGAGGAGCTTACTTTAATATAAGTTATAGTTAATAACTCCTTACCCGTCGCCGCCCTTATAGACGAGGGCTATTAGTGCTACGCTATAGTTAACGAGGCGCTTATACGAGAGATATAAGTGCCGGTAGAAAAGATCGCTCTAAGGCGAGTAAAGGGCGCCTTAGGCGCGATAGAGGGTATAGTAATTAGGGGCATTACGTAGCTAGCTATAAAGGTCGACGGTTGCCGTAAGCTTATTATAGCCTATATAATCCCCTAACTAAAGTTTCCCCTAATCCTCGGGAAACCCTAGTTATTATATACGGAGTTATACTCGGTTCCGCACTAGAAGAAGCTATAGTTTAGGCCTATGTAACGGTAGGTCCGCTATAACGACGGTTCCGTAGGCGTAGGACTAGGCGTGCGAGCTTTATACTCGGCATAAGAAGTCCTTGCTTCTATCTTTATAGGAACTATACAACGGTTAGAGCGGGAGGAAGGCCGGGCAGCGGCTAACGTAGCGGTCTACGTAGTTAGCCTAGCGGATATCGATAAGGCCCTCTAAGCGAAGAAGCCGAAGTCGCCCTCTAAGCTACGGTAGTAGATACCGGAGCGCTTTTACGATCTCCTACCGCTATTCGAGTCCTAGGAAGCGGATAAGCTTAACCTATATAAGCCGGGGGTAGACTATAAGATCGTACTCCGTACCGATAAGAAGGGGTAGGAACTGCCTACACCGTTTAGACCGCTATATAGTATATTATACGCGGAACTACTAGTACTAAAGAAGACGCTAAGGGACCTCCTAGATAAGGGTTTTATTTAAGTAAGTAGCTCCGAAGTAGGAGCGCCGGTCCTATTTGTGCGTAAACTAAGGGGCGGGATATAGTTCTATTGCGACTATAGGGCTTTAAACGCAATTATAAGGCCGGACCGCTACCCCTTACCCTTAATCTCGGATACGCTCCGTAACCTTTCGAAGGTAAAGTAGTTTATAAAGCTAGATATAAAATAGGCGTTTTATAAAGTATAGATCTTAGAGGGTAACGAGTAGAAGACAGCGTTCTATATACGCTATAGCTTATTCGAGTAGCTTATAACGCCCTTCGGCCTCTTAGGAGCGCCCGCTACCTTCTAGCGTTATATTAATAACGTACTTTAGGACTTCCTCGATAATTTCGCCTCTATATACGTAGATAATATCCTTATCTATATAAGCGGCTCCTACGAGGACTATATATAGAAAGTATAGAGGGTCCTAGAGCGCCTTTAACTTTATAGGCTCTACCTCGACCTAAATAAGTGCGAATTCGGGGTTAAGAGGGTTAAGTACCTAGGCTTTATTATCTACGCCGGCGTAGGTATATAGGCGGATCCTATAAAGATCTAAGCGATTTAGGACTAGGCTGCCCTAACTACGTAAATAGGCGTATAGAGCTTCCTTAGGTTCGCGAACTACTATAGGATATTTATTAAGTGCTTCTCCTATATTATAATGCCCCTAAACGAGATTACTAGGAAGCGGACCGCCTTTTACTAGGGGCCCGTATAAGAAGGAGCGTTCTATACGCTTAAGGACCTATTCTCTTAAGCCCTAGTACTACTCTAGTAGGACTTCGACCGGTCTACGTTAGTTAAAGCGGACTATAGCGGCTAGGTACTCGGAGGAACGCTCTCCTAAGAAGTAGACGGGCGGAAGTAACTAATAGCGTTCTACTCCTATAAGCTAACCTTAGTAGAGCGGAATTACGCTATTTATAATAAGGAGATACTAGCGATTATTAGCTACCTCGAGTAATAGTAAGCGGAGCTCCGGAGCTATAAGAGCTTCGAGGTTCTTATAGACTATAAGAACCTCGAGTACTTTATAACCCGCTAGCACCTCTCGGAGCGGTAAGCCCGCTAAGCGGAGTATCTCTTACGCTTTAACTTCTCGATTAAGTACCGGCTAGGGCAGGACTCCGTAGTCCTAGATACGCTTTCCCGGAGGGATTAGGACCAGCCGACGGGAGCGGATATCGAGGCCCGGGATCTATAGCTTATCCCGTAAGAAGCGCTACGGACTTATATAGGAGCTTCCCTAGTAGAGGAAGGCGCGGCGCTAACGGATAAGCCTTCCCCCGTACCTTCGCCTCGGCCCGGCGAGGAGGGATAGACCGGCCTAGGGGCGCGTGCGGCGCGGGTGTTCTAAGATAAGGTCCTCTAGCGCTTATAGGATAGGATATCGTCTCTAGACCGTACCTATAAGAGCGTGCGCCGCGCCGTTAAGTCCGGCGCTCGACGCCTCGATCTAAAGCTAAAGCTAAAGGTATAAGTAGCCGACTATTATATCGACCTACGGGGGCACCTACGTTAGCGGGGGAGACTATAGGTGCCGGGCGCGCCGTATACTATAGAAGCTAGGGAGAAGGATAGACCGCCGGAGCTAGACGAATAGAACGAGCTCCGAGGGAAGCTAGTCTAGCTCGTCTATAACTTTAGTATCGTAGGCTACCTAGGTAGGTAGGGCATAGTAGTAGGCCTCGCGAGGGATTTCTACTAGCCCCTCCTATAGCACTACGTTCGCCGCTTCCTCTATAACTACGATATCTACGGCCGTACTAAGATTTAGAGGGCGTAGCTTAAGGGGCTACTTAAGTAGCTTCCGGTACCCGACTAGTTCTATACGTATATATAGATAGACTTTATAATAGACCTCCTACTTATAGAGGGCAGCAACCGCTATATATAGGTAATTAAGGACCGACTTAGTAAGTCTATAGTATTAGAGCTAATACCGTCTATAGATACGGAGTCCTACGTAGAGCGCTTCCTATAGTGCTAGGCCCGCTTATATAGCTAGCTAGCCTCTATTATAAGCGATAGGGGATCGAATTAGACTAGCCGCTTTTAGTAGTACCTATACTAGCTACTTTAGATTATATAGCTACTTAGCACGGCATATTACCTATAGACCGACGGAGGGCCTAAGAGGGTTAACTAGGAGGCGTAGGCTTACTTACGGGCCGTCGTAGCCCGTAACTAAGTAGACTAAGACCGTTAGCTCCCCGCGGCCTAACTTACGTTAAATAATAGACTATATACCTCTATTAAGATAGCCCCTTTCTTTATAACGTATAGCTTCGAACTACCCTTACTAGTTCCCTTTACCGTAAGCGTAGTAGCGGAGCAGTATAGTAATTCGTTACTAGAGGGCCGCGCCTCCGCGTTCGTATAAAAGCTATAGGAGACTATAGATTATTACTAATCCGCGATAGCCGCCGCGGCGTAAGATTAAGAGCGGCACGCTAATAAGACTAGGGCCCTAGTAGATAGGTTTACGGTAAGAGATAAGGTATAGCTAGACCTCTATAACTATAGGTTAGCACGGCTAAAGAAGAAGCTTAACTAGCTATACGCGAAGTTTACGGTATAGAGGGTTATTAGCCCGTAGGTTATAGAGCTCGATAGTCTCCTAACGGGGGTCTATAATAAGATTAATATAGACCTCCTTCGTAGAGCCTCCTTTAACCCGCTGCCCGGATAAGAAGCAGCGGACGCTTAACCGCCCGTAATCGAGGTAGAGGGAGAGGACGAGTTCGAGGTTAAAGAGATATAGGCCGCGCGCTAGAAAAAGGTCGGTAAGGGGAAACGCTAGGAGGTCCTTATTAAGTAGCGCGGGTATCTCGACCCTACGTAGGAACCTATATATAAGTTTACGGGAACTATAGCCCTTAATAAGTTCGAAGCCTTATTTAGAATAGTAGACGAGAACGACGGACTAGCGGACTACCGATAGTAGCCTAGGCTAAGACTACGAAGTAAGTATAGCGGAGGGGGCAGTTACGGTAATATAGGTAATATAAGCGCAATAGTATAGGCAGAGATAAAAATAGCGTTTATTATAGGGCGGAGCCCCTAGACTACCTAGGCCTATTTCTTATCGTTATTATTATTATTGTCTTTATTATTATCGTCCTTATTAGCCTCCTCCTTCTTATTAGCGGCGGCGGCGGTCTCTAGGGCGCTAAGGCGGCCCTCTAAGCCCGTAAGCTAGTCGGCGGCGGCGGCGGCTCCGGGGGTAGAGGGGCGGCGGCCAGCGGCGGCGGCAAGGGCAGCGGCGGTAGCGGAGGCGGGCACGGCTAAGGGGACCGCCGATAGGGCGACGGAGGCAGTATCCCTAGCGCCGGGTGCGTTAGAGGCGGAAATAAGGGAGCGGAGGAGTAGGACTTACTTAGGCATAAGGCCTTATCGCTTAAGGGCGCGGAGGTTACGGTAGGCGGCGGCGGCGGCGGTAAGGCGCTTCTTAGCAGCCCCCTACGCCTGCCCGTGCGAGCCGGCCTTCTAAGCCGACGCCGCAGCGAGCAGGACGGGAGGCGCCGCCTTATAGGCGCGGCCGGCTCGCGCGTACTAGTAGTAGCTGCCGCCGCGGCGGCGCCCGGCCTAGTCGGAGCAGTCGAGCTCCTACGACGTATAACGCATATAAGGGGCCGAGCGGGCGGCGCCGGCCTATACTTAGCGCTTATACTATAGGAGGTTAGCGGATAACGTCTATTACGCTTACCTAACTATAGACTTACGGGGGTAGCGGAGATAGAGGCGGGGGCCGAGGGGCCGGGCGTTACGGGTAGCGGCGGGGACGGCGTCGTTACCCTAAGGGGCGACGTAAGAGCGAATAGCGTAGTAGAGGCGGCGGCGGCGGCGGTAGGAGCGGTGGCAGCGGCGCGGGCAGGAGCGGCGGCAGCGGCGGAGTCGTCGTCGGCCGCGGCTAGCACGGCGTCGACGAACGACTCTATACGCTCCGAGAAGGAGGAGGTAAGAGAGGGAGAGGCGGATATATCTATCGCGGAAGTTAGCACGACGGAATATAGCCTCCCGCTCTATAAGGCGCGGAACTTACTAATTAGAGTTATTATTATTATTAGGGCTATTATTACTACTACCGCTACTACTACGAGTATACGTTAATAGAGCGGCCCGTATAGCTAAGAATAGACTAACGCCTTAGGTAGAGCGGAACTTACCTATTAATGCTACTACTATAGTTAAAGAAGGGAGAGAAGGAAGGGAAGGGGGAAGGGGGGGATGCCGCCTTATATACCCCTTAGTAGAGGATACTGCCTAAGGTAGAGGGGACGGGCAACCTAAGGCTTACATAGGTCCGGACTAGCCGCCGGCCACCTAAGGGCGCATATAATAGGTTACGCCCCTATTTAAACGGCTAGCCGGCTAACGAGTATAGAGCCGGGTCCCGGCTACCTAGGCTAACGGGCGCGGGGATAATAGGGCTAGTAGGGCCGGCCCTATTAATAGGAAAGGGCAGGGAAGAGCCCGCGGCACGGGCCTAATTATACGGGAGCCGTTAATAGGGCAGCGCTACGCCGCGCTTAAGGGAGGGCATTATATAAGAGTCTTTAACTATTATAGGTGATGGGCTTAGGCCGCGGCCTAAGCCGTGTAGTTACGTATAGAGGGCCGGATCCCGTAAGTATAGGGGCGGGCTAGCTATATATAGAAGAGCTCTATATAGCTTATTAATATTATCCTATGGACGGTACCTACGTATATACCTCTGCTTACTCCGTAATAAGTATCTTTCTTTTCTTTATTTAATACTCTTTTTTATACTTATTTAGTATCTTTATTAATAAAAAAGATCCTACTTAAAGAAGCTATTAATATACTCTTAACTACTAAGCTTTTTATTTATTTTTTCCTTTTATTCTAGCTATTACTAGTATATTTATCTTATCTCTTACTACCTTTATAAAAAGCTATTACTACTTTTACTTTCCTTCTTACCCTTACCTTTCTTTTTATACTTTATTTTAGCTTATTCTTTTATATTAGTTTTTTAACTTCTTAGGTCCCTATTACTAAAGGATATCTTTAAGAATATAAATTAAGCTATACTTTATAATAATTAAAGACTATAAGAATAGCTTTATAAGTATATTAATAAAAAGGAGGCTAAGGGAGTCTAAGCTAAGGGCTTTTTTATTAAAAGAGCTAAAATAGCCCTTTTAATCTTAGGGTCCTTTTAAGTAGCTTAAAAAGGAGTACCCTAAGGGCCCTAAGGCCCTTAAGTTCGAAAATTACTATATAAGAGGAACTAAACTAACCTTTCCTTTATTATTACTTTTATAACTACCCTTTCCTTAATTAAATATAAGCCCCTAGGCTCTATAGCTAGCTAGGACTACTAGTAGGGGCCTAGGCCCTTACTAGCCTTACTATAGCCTTAGAGGCTATATATAAGTAATAATAATATATAAAAAAAGGAGTTACTTTCTAAGGTTACTTTATAGTAAGGCTAATATAATTCTAACTAACTATAACGATACCTAAGATAGCTAGCGTAAGATTCCTATATATTATAACCGCGACCTAGTATAAGTATAAACTAGCTATAAAAGAGGGGAGGGCTTTCCTTTAAGTACTTTAGTTTTTCCCTCCTATTTAATACTAAAGCTTTAGATACTTTTTAATTAGTTACTAGTATAATCTTAATAATAATATAGTTATAGTTAAGCTTAAAAGGCTTAAAAGGCTTAGGAGGCCTTATATATATAAGGGGGCTAAGGCTATATTAGTTATACTTCTATTAACTTTATATTATACCTTAATAGTTATAAGGTACCCTCCTTAATAGTTATAGTATTAAATCTTAAAGTAAGAGTAGCCTTAGCTAGCCTTATAGCTAAGGTAGCTATAATCCTTAATTAAGTACTTTTCTAAGTAAAAGGTATACTTAATAAGTTACTAGTAAGTCTAAGGGTTATAGCTAAAAGAAAAGTACTTATAGTACTATATATATATTTATTTTATTCCTTATAAGCCTTAACCTAAAGCTATAGACCTACTATATAAAGGCCCCTTTTCTAGTATTAAGCCCTTATAGCTTTTAAAGGGACTATAAAGATAATAGATCCTACCTTTTAGGTTAAGCCTATAATACCTAGCTATTTAAGTTACCCTAAGATATTAATCCTATTAAAGGCTTTAGCTTTTATAATAAAGATATTAAGGATAGGGTTTTCTAAGAAGTTAAGGACGCTTTAGGCTACTAGCTTAGTTTAGCTAGTAAGAAGGTTAGCTAATTTAATAGGTAGCTCTTTATAGTATAAGGACTACTTATCTTATTACTTTAAAAGCTTCTTTATTATATAAGGGCCTTTATTATTATAACTATATTACCTTTACTTAAAATTAATAGAGTTAATATTACTAGTTCCTTTATCGCCTTATTAAGCTTATTATTAAAAGCGATAGGGCTAATAGTTAGTATTAGTAATCCTTTCTTTAGCTTTAAGATAAACTAAAAGTCCTCCTTTATATTCTTTTTAGCTAGGGCCTTAAGCGCCTTCCTTATAGTAACCTTAGCTTATAAGCTAGCTTTTAGGTTTCCTTAAGTAGCCTTAAGCTATTATAAGGGTTATTATAAGGGCTATTAGCGGTCTAGGGTCCTTATAGCTACCTTCTTAAGCTCTTTATTAAGGGTCTTATAAAAATGTTTAATTTTTTAGGTTTCTTTAAAGGCTTATAAGGCTTACTAAAGAAAGTCCTAGGCCTAGTCCTTATAAAAGAGGTACTAAGGCTAGGACTAAGGCTACTACTACTATAAGCGTTAAAGAATAAGTTTTTTTTATATTATTACTTATATAGAGCTTTTAAGGCTATAGCGAGGCTAATAAAGGCCTAGGCCTTTATTAATAGTCTTAGCTAGCTATAGAGTTTAGGGGCTTATAACTAATTAAAGAAAGGGTAGCTATAAAGGTAAAGATAAAGGAAAGGTTAGTTTAGTTCCTCCTATATAGTATTTTCCCCCTTAAGGGCCCTAGGGCCCCTAGGTTACTCCTTTTTAAGCTACTTAGCTATCCTTATCTCTATTAAAAAGCATAGGTTATATAGGTATAGGGCTAATAAAGCTACTAAGAGTAGCCCTCTTTTACCTTATAACTTACTTAAGAAGTAAGTTTAGTAAGAAGTTATTAGCTTAAGGTAAGGCTAAGCTAGGCCTAAAAAGGCTAGTCTTAAGCCCGCTAAGCTAGATCGGGCTAGTAGTTTTAGTAGGCCCTAGGCTTACTTTATTATCTTTTATCTTATTATCCTCTTAGTCTTAGTCTTAGTCTTAGGCTTTAGGCCTTTCTTTTAAGGTCTTTAGAAAGCGTTAGCCTTTTAAAGCTTCCCTTAAGCGGGCCCTAGCCTCTATAGTACCTTTTCGGCCCCTAGGTAAAAGAAGGGAATAGGGGGGGGTTTAAAGTAGCCCGCCCTAAGCCTAGGCTAGGGTCCTAGGTTAAGTCTAAGCTAGGTTCTATTAGCGGGGGGTATATACCTTTAGTTAGTAAGGGCGGGGAAGAGTTTTCTACCTATATAAAGGAAAACCTAGCCTAAGTTATAAACTTCGGTAGTATATTATATACCTATTAGTAGCTAAGCGAGGCTATACTTAGGAGGGTATAATATACTATTTATAAGGGTTCTAGGTATATACCTTTTTTATATTTTAGGCTTAGTTTTTAAAAGTAAGCTAAAAATATATAATAATCCTATTACTATTAAATTGCTTTTATTATATATAAGTAAAGCCCTAAGTATATCCCTAGGTATATTATTTAAATAGTATTAATACTCGTAGTTATATACCTTATTATTTTAATATATCTATAACCTTTTAAGTAGCTAGATAACTAATTATTAGTAAGAGTAAATTATTAAGTATTAAAATACTAACTAAATAATTAGAAAGTATAGATCCTAAAAAACGCTTAAAAGTAAGCTACTAAGAGATAATTATGAAGGAGCTTAGTACCTATAAAACTAATAGCTCCTAATAAAAAGTAAGGTATAGGGCGCTAAAAGTATAAAAACTTTATATTTACTTTAGTATATTTAAGATTAAATAATTAGGTTTATATAAAGTAGTCGGTACTTTTAAGTCTTAGTAGTTAATATTATATATAAGGTTACTATCTTTAAAGAGCTAATTAAGGCTCTTAACTATATAAGGAGAATAAAAATAGTATATAAGATAATTTAAAGGGTTCCGCTATATCTTAAGGCACCGAATATAGCCGTTAACCTATAGAATGTTAAGGAAGTTACTTTACGGATCTAGGTAACTATAAGCAGCTAAATTTATAGGGGATCCTATCCCCTCCCGCGCTTTATATATATATATATAGTCACACCCGCGGACTCCCCTTTTCGGGCAGGACAGCGCAATCTATACCCTCTTTTCT